TTCCTCGGCCTTCCACCCGCGGGCGAGTTACAGGCTTCATGGAATTTGCACCGGTCAACCCACATGCCTTTAAAAAATCACCCTTAATAATCAGGCGCAAGCGAAAAGGCCGAGGAACTAGGCTAACATATAGGCTATTAAACAGCTGGTAAGTTAATATATGCAGACAACAATCCACACTGTCGTCTGTCGCTGGGTTATTATTAATTTAAACTGCATGGGTTGGCGGGTTGCTATAGAAAATATCTTTGCATTATAAAGCATATATACCGCACGACATTCAGCGTTTTTAAAACGTTCTGAAAGCAAATTGCTATGTCTATGAACATCTAGAATGAACACTAAACTCATCGCCTTGGCGCATCGCCACACAAACAAATATATAACCAAAAGTACATCATTAAGTCATTTTGACCCCAAAATATATTAAAACGACGATCTATTGTTACAAATACCTCATATCGAACGCTAAACATTAGATCTAAATATAAATGCCTTCATGTAATATCACCAGAAAGAAATAAAGCTATCCTTACATGAATTATTCAAAATATTGTCGATTTGTGAAAATCCAACATGTATCATGCGCGCACAATACAAAATAAATTTTGACCGCCCCCCTCGTTTAAAAAAAACTTCCTGAAGCCTTAATTAGTTCCCCGGAATTACGACATCTTTCCATACATACATACATACAAACAGACAGACACTGAAGACACAAATCGAAATCTCGATCGACTGTACATAACTTGGCCAAAGAGACTGGGCACAAGTAAACGCAGGCACGCATTACTTCATGTTAAGAATAGTGTGCTGCCTTCGGTAGCAATTAAGATAAATTAAAGTTTTTCATCGTTTTTTTTATCATATTTATATATAAATGTAACTGCATAATATAATAAAATAGCGAGTTTCAAAGGCAAACAGCGCATTTTGATTTTTGAAATTTAACCGGCATTTTCCAGGTGCAAAGTGCTTTGAGAGACAGACTTGTCATTATCTTTTAACAATGTCTCATATGTCTGACCCGGCGGCTGGCACATCAAACACGCAGTCGTTAAATCAAGAAAATACTGGTCTTACGAAAATACTGGATGGTTGGCACTAAGGTCTAAAAAGACTTGTAAAGACTGAAAAAGCGTCAACGGTTCTGAAATTTATTCTATGTATGTTCCGTATACTTATGCTGAATTGGCCATATTATAATTTTAGGATAGGTAATAGAACCTCTACATGCGTCTCGAATCTCTCGTAGTGTCGTTTGTGGCTTACTTTATAGGCCCTCTTTACACGAGCACGGGATGATTTTCAACCATGGTCACCCCACAGGTGGTTATTTTTTATTCGGTTTACATGAACCCGGGTTGACGAAAATTTTTGCCGACCAGAGTCAGCAATTTTCAACCCGAGCAGGCTCGGGTAATATTCCGAGAAACAGACTGGAGCAGAGTGTATTTTTGGGGCTTATACTCCTTATATACGATTGTCGCCATAGATATAGGAGACCTAGATTGCTGACTCGGCTGAAGAGGCGCGCCAAATTTGAAAATCCAAGATGGCGGCTCAACCGGTCAAAAATCATAGAGCGAGATAGGGAAAAACCACGTTTTTTGCATTTTACGTCGTCCTACTGTTTCCGATTCCGTTGAACCAGCTTTTTTTGGAAGAACTAACTGGTGTGAAAGTTTTGGATGTATATTTGTTATAATTAGTACGATTTACAGTTTAAAATTCAACCGGGCAAGAATGGGCAAAGACGAAAATGGCGCGAAACTGCCAGCCTGGTTTCTTTTCCTGTGTATTCCTTCAGTCTTTTACCAGTTTTTCTAAAGTAATGTAACATGCATATGACTTTTCCAAAAGTTACTATTATTTATTTTGTTCTTTCATTGTTATTTCGACAAAAATACAGTATTTTCATCTGAAAATTCTAGGGCATTCTATTCTAAAAAATCTGTTTTTCTATCGAAAAGAATGCCTTGATTCTCGGCCTGTTTTGTGTGCTGAGTGTAACTGCAAGGCCAGACGTGGGGATTTAAAAGATGGTATTCGCTTTTCCTTCCATAGGTAAGTCTATGAAACACACATCGTATATTTGTAGACTATAACATACTTCATATAAACAGAATAGTACAAGACTATTAAAATAAGATAGCTTTTAATAGCATAAAAACAATTTGTTTTGTAAATACAATAATGACACCAAATGTAGTTTTGAGCTTGTTGCCTACATCCTACAATATAAAACTGTTTACAGTTTTAGTAAAAGAACATTAGACCAGAAGAACTTCTTGTTTTGGTGTCTGTGTTAGGAGTCTATATATATATATGCATGTTGACAATAACTTTCATAGAGGTCCTTGCCTGTTGAAGGTCAAAAAATTGAGTTTTGTTCACATCAGTGAACCAAAAATACATATTTCCCTTCACACTATTTAGATTTCCTATAACCAATCCCAGCCGGCTAAAAAGTTGGATAACAGCAATGAAATGGGCAGACTGGATGCCAACCAAATATTCAGTATTGTGCGAGAAACAACTTACACCCAACAACTATATTAACCCATTAAATCGCATTGTGCCCTAATGTGCCCTACTTTATTATTTTATTTTGTCTAACAGCATTACGGCAGATGATTTTACTTGTCAAGGGGAAAGTGTTGGAACTTAATGGGTTAACTGGCCATGGGTCCGGTTAACCCATCGAGTTGCACCCTACTTTATTATTTTACTCTAACACCAGATAATTTTACTTGTCAAGGGGAGAGTGCTTACTGCTGGGTTAGTAAGGGAAAGCAATTAATAAAAGGCCAATCCAAGAAATAGCTGAAAGAATATACTGTCCCATCTATTTTTTATTTATATCAATGATGAATCAATCAGGTTTCTTGGAGAGAACTAGATATACTGTTAAGGTTTTTGATGCATACTAGACAAATTAGCCAGTTTCTTCAAAATAGTTTCCATTGAAAACTTTTGCTGTCACTAGTTCTCTTTAAAATCCTGTTTGATTCATCACATTTCACTGTCCAGGCCATATAGACTTGAGATCCCTTGACATCTGCAGCAGCAAGGTCATCAAAGTCACACTAAAACACTTGTAAAAAGTGCATCATAGTTTGCGCACCAGGAGACCAGGTAAATCAAGCAAAATAGGTTTTAAACTTCAAAATACTTCACAATATTATTCCCTGTTATATATCCAAACCGAAATCCTCGAGAAAAAAAGCACCCAAAGAACAAAAAGCTTTAATTTCTGCAATAAAATGTCTCGAACTGGTCAACCGACCATGTGATGATTTTCAGAAAACATTTAGCGATCGATTGTTTCGTCTTTATTCAACTTAAATTGTACAAATATTCATCCAAAACCTTCACACCAGTTAGTTCTTCCCCAAAAAAGGTGGTTCAACGGGATCGGAAACAGTAGGCAGGCGTAAAATGCGAAAAACATGGTTTTTCCCTATCTCGCTCTATGTTTTTTGACCGGTTGAGCCGCCATTTTGAATGCTCATGTTGGCGCGTCGCGTGCGTAATAGAAAACATTACAGTCAGCAATCTAGTTCTCCTATATCTATGATTGTCGCCTGTGATTTTAATTGTGTTGTCTAATTTCCTGTACCTCTATTTAGTCAACGGTTTTCTTATATCCTCACAGGATCTGGAAAGTAAACCATGCCGTGATAGAAATATGTGAACTCACCCACGTTGAGCGGGTTCGATACCCGCATTTTGGAATCATCACACTTAATTAATTAATTAATTCACCCGCATTCATTGAAATTCACTCGCATAATCAGATGATAATTCTCCGTAGGAGATTTCGTAGGAGCGGAGGCAATGCTGAACTAGCCTTGCGCTCATCTTATTTAGTTTTGACCGAACGGTTGCGATTTTACGAAACTTTGCGAAACTTTTATTTATTTCCTTTTATACGAAACTTTGCGAAACAATTATATTTAACCCTGTATTCTGTACCTTATAAATATATTTGATGACTTCCCATTTACGTATTCTAAACAAGAACAGAAATGTAAAATAACAACTAGCTCTGATTGTCGCCACTAAAAGAGAACAACAATGTTGTTCTCTTTTTGGCTACAAAAGCTAGTTGTTATTGGCAATGTGGTTGTCACAGTGTTTCAGTGTATTGGCATCACCCGCAATTTAGGTGGTCCATGTTGTTCACTGTGTATTTCGACTAATTTCGTATATCTGTCCATTCACTTGTTGTGGTTGAGGCTATGTGCGGACATACTCATAAGGTCTTGTAGGCAGACCATGCGGGTCCATGCCGTAAACTATGTGAAACCTAAGGTTTGTGTCATGTATAGCTAGCTATTGATAGATAGAATAGGTAGATGTTGTACAATCTACAAAAATGTGGTTTACAGAATCAGGCAGAAAATTTGATTCTGCCACAAGGACAAGACTTAAATTTAAAAGAAAGACTACAGACTCGATTAATCTTGATGAAATTGTGGATCGTTGGGCAAAAACACGACGTTTGATAAGTGTTGGATAATATTACTAATATAGGAAGCGTTTCTTCAATGAAATTTTAGAATTAAAAACCAGGGCGATGAATCGATGATTCTGCAAACTATATAGACTGCTAAAACGGCTAAATGGTTTGTATTTATAAGGTTTTTATCTTAGAAGGTACACAAAAATAAAAATGCCTGCAAAAATGGAATAGTCTATATTCCGAATCTTCTTGATGTGTCTTTTTTATTGCATGTACAAATTGGAGCAATCTCCAATGCGTTTATTAATCATTTTTAGTTTGTAATCTTTAAACAGTAAACTGGCAGTTTTTTGAGAATGAGATGGAGCGTGCGCAGGGCGGTAGGAACTGAAGAGAATTACTGCACCTGTATTAATACCAGCGATGAATGCGATCATCGTGTTGTCAGCTGACACAATTATGCAGTTTAAACAAAGATTTTATTATTATTATTATTATTATTATTATTATTATTACAAATGTCATCCGTAAAATGAAACCGTCTGGCTCACCATGTCCACTTGATCAAATATCTATCATCTGTTTTAAACGCTGTCCTTATTTACGCTCGTACTTAACTGAGATAATCCACGCAGCCTGGTCTTGCGGTGTTGTCCCGTCTGAATGGAAGAAAGCATGCACGATTCTAATTCATAAGAAAGGAGAAACAGCAAACCCAGCGAACTTTCGACCCATTACTCTCGAATCTGTCCCACTCAAAGTTTTCACATCATGTCTTCGCAACAGGACATTTCAGTTTCTTGCAGAAAACAATTACATTGAACAGAACATACAGAAAGGTTTCACTCCAAAACTCTCAGGAACACTAGAACACACAGCACAGTTGGCACATATCATTAATAAAGCGCGAGTAAAACAACGTACGATCACTTATCATAACACCATTAGATCTCAAAAATGCATTCGGCGAAGTCCACCAAATATTATTTATGAAGACCTTCAATATCACCACATTCCCGATCACATAAAGAATCTTGTCAGTAGCCTTTATACTGATTTCCAAACTTCCATAATAACTGAACAGTTCAATACTTCCTTCATTACAGTCCTTAAAGGCGATTGTCTCAGTCCTCTTTTATTCAACATGTCTTTCAATACCTTTATCCAACATATTAAATCGGAAAAATACCGTCAACTTGGATTTTGGAAATCCAGTGAAAACGGTACCCCATTAAATCCTCTTCATTGGTTCCAGTTTGCCGACGACGCGGCTGTTGTTAGCGGCCAAGAAAAAGAAAACCAAATGCTCCTTAATTGCTTTACAATCTGGTGTCAGTGGGCTCAAATGATAATACGTGTAGACAAATGTTCAACATTTGGCATTAGGAAACAAGTAACCAAATCCATTCAATATCTCCCAAAACTATTTATAAATAACTGTCTTGTACCACGTGTTGAACTTGGTAAATCGTTTCGCTACTTAAGTCGCCATTTTGATTTCAACATGTCCGACGAAGATCACAAATCTGAAGTATATGACACACTTACTAATATCCTGAATGAAATTGATGATCTACCATTACATCCGAAAAACAAAATTCTCTTATATAGTCGTTATGTGCTTTCCAAAATCTCTTGGCACTTCACTGTTTCTGACATAGGCAAAACCTGGGTTAACGATAAACTAGATAGTATCGCGTCCACGTATATCCGAAAATGGCTTGAACTTCCTATTTCTGCAACCCTTAGTAACGTCCTACTTCCCCACAATAAATTTGGATTAAATATCATTCTTCCTTCAACCAAATTCCTTCAATGCCAAACTGTTTCTCGGAAAGCCCTAAAGTCGTCGCCAAATGAAGCAATCAATAACCTTTGGAAGGATACTAGCAATCACAAAAATGTACAATATGACAAATACAAAAACACCAAGGACGTATTAAACACCATCAGGAAACAACATGAAGACAAGCTTCAACACCACCTCATTTCACAAGGCTCATTTTTCTCCAATATCATTAAACATTCTACACTCTCATTCAACTCTATATGGTCCTCCGTTCAGAGTAAACTTCCGAAGAATATATTTAACTTCACTATCCGGTATATAAATAACACTCTTCCGACTCGCAAAACCTTCTGAAATGGGGAATATCACCAACATCCGAATGTTCGTTTTGTTTGAATCCAGAATCACTTCTTCACGTCGTCGCTGGATGCAATACCTACCTAATGAAGGACGTTTTACGTGGCGTCATGATTCGGTGCTTAACTTCACAGCATCCATACTTAAATCTGTGAACCATTGTAACCTTTATGCTGGCTATATTAGTCCATCTGTTATCACCGGAGATGAATTGCGCCCTGATCTTTTGATAACACTTGAAAACAAATGTATTTATATACTTGAATTTACCGTCGGATTTGAATCTAATCTCCTCACTAATGCAACTCGAAAAAGACAAAAATATCAAGATCTAATTAACGAACAGCTCAAAAATTATGAAAAAGTGAAATTTGTAAATTTATCGATTAGCTCATTAGGAGTTTTCAGCCACCCGTCGCTAGATTTCACCGAAATGCTGAAAGATCTAAAGTTTGATAAACAATGTAGAAAGTACTATGTCCGGAAAATTATTAATATATGTATCAGGTCCTCGTATTATATATTCTGTAAGCGTAACAAAGAATGGGATAACCCACAACTAATGTCATACTAATATTGTTATTATGTAGAGTGTTAATTCAAGTAGACACTGGTAAACTACCTGTAAAGAGAGGTTTATCATTGTAGTGTGTATATATATTATTGAAAGTAATAAAGTTTCCATTTTTAATTCTTCTTCTTCTTCTTCTTCTTCTTCTTCTTATTATTATTGTTATTATTATTATTATTATTATTATTTTTATTATTATTATTATTATTATTATTATTATTATTATTATTATTATTATTATTATTATTATTATTATTATTATTATTATTATTATTATTATTACATTAAGTAATATTTATCTAACCCATAACAAATTCGGTCTGAATATCCTCCCTGCATCCGTCAAATTTATCCAATGTCAAACTGTCCTGCGCAACGCCTTAAAAACATCCCCAAATGATTCCATAAAAGAACTCTGGAAATCAACTAACAATCACACTAATATTCAGTACGACATATATAATTCAACAAAGGAAGTTCTCAAGGATTTTCATTCTGGACAAGAAGATAAGCTTCAACACCGTTTAATTTGTCAAGGTTCATTTTTCTCGAATGTTGCAAAGTTTTCCTTTTCACAGTTAAACACACTTTGGTCTGCCGCTCAATCAAAACTGCCAAAGAACATTTTCAACTTCACCGTCCGTTACATAAATAACTCTCTTCCTACGCGAAAAAACCTTACAAGATGGGGTTTAGCTTCAAGTCCCGAATGTTCCTTTTGTTTGTGTCCTGAAACCCTACTACACGTGATAGCCGGCTGCCAATCGTACCTTCAGCGCTTTACTTGGAGACATGATTCTATTTTAAACTTTCTCGCTGAAACGTTTCAAACAACAAATCCATGTCAACTTTATGCTGACCTATCCGGCCACAAAAGCCCGTCAATTATAACTGGTGACCTATATCGACCGGACTTACTCCTAATTACCCCAAATGAAGATCTTTATGTCGTTGAACTTACTGTCGGGTTTGAATCTAATCTACATAATAATGTTAAACGCAAAAAAGCAAAATACAAACATCTAATTGAAGATCAAAGGGGTCACTTTAATTCTGTTAAATTTGTAAACCTATCAATGAGCTCTCTCGGTGTGTTTGACAAAGAATGCTTCACCTTTTTAGAAATGTTAGACACTATAGGAATGGATAAAAAGCAGCAACATTACTGCATAAAAAAGATGACGTCTTATGCCATTAGAGCGACGTACTATATTTTTGCTGTCGAAACAAAGAGTGGACAAACCCTGAATTGTTAAACATTTAAATTAATAACTACATATAACAATATATATATAATCATATACCCATTTTATTCTTGTTTTTACTGCAAATAGTACATATGTAGTACTCTGTGATTCATGTAGCCAATTGTAAATTACCTAAGTCAGTAGTGAGATTTACAATTGTATATATACGTAAAAATTCAATAAAGTTTTCATTATTATTATTATTATTATTATTATTATTATTATTATTATTATTATTATTATTATTATTATTATTATTATTATTATTATTATTATTATTATTATTATTATTATTATTATTATTATTATTATAAAAAATATCAAGATCTAATTAACGAACAGCTCAAAAATGATGAAAAAGTGAAATTTGTAAATTTATCGATTAGCTCATTAGGAGTTTTCAGCCACCCGTCGCTAGATTTCACCGAAATGCTGAAAGATCTAAAGTTTGATGAACAATGTAGAAAGTACTATGTTCGAAAAATTATTAATATATGTATCAGGTCCTCGTATTATATATTCTGTAAGCGTAACAAAGAATGGGATAACCCACAACTAATGTCATACTAATATTGTTATTATGTAGAGTGTTAATTCAAGTAGACACTGGTAAACTACCTGTAAAGAGAAGTTTATCATTGTAGTGTGTATATATATATTATTGAAAGTAATAAAGTTTCCATTATTATTATTATTATTATTATTATT